AGATTAATTAGTAGAGGAATGAATTTTAAAATGTCACATAACTAATGTGTTATGGTGAACCTGTATAATTAAAATGTGGCTCACTAATACATTTCTTCATGTTATAAATTATTGACTTGGTGATTGTCCTAGTATCAATTTCTCATATGTTGATAGTTTGCCCGTAGGGATAGATTTTCTTATAACGTCAGTGAACCAAGAGGATGGTGAGATTTCACTGCCTGGGCTGTTTTGACCTGTGTGTGCAAAGCTAACAAATTCAGGTGGCTTTAGCACTAGGTGCTTTTCTCTCTTCAATATTATAATACAGTAGATAAAGTGCAGGCTCTTTGCAGGGCTCAATGCTCACACAGAATAGCAAAGCTGAACACTAGACAGATACCAAGATTTGTAGGTGATTGGAAATGTATAAATAGAAACATCTCGAAATTGAAACAGTCTCATGAAGCAGCTTTGGTCAGGGTAAGGGGTTCATCAAGATGATGTATTTTTACGGCTCGTGATACCTGTTGGGGTTAATTGATCTCATGATTATCCTTACCTAGGCCATGTCTAAGGAGTATAATTGTCTGCCTACATTTAATTGGTAAGAAGTAAATTATATATTGTGACCAATACAAATGAACCAACAAAGAAAAAAAAAAAGCCGGGGGAAATCATCAGTTAAATCATGGAGGTGCATTGACCCACACGGTTCCTGTTAGTGGCAAGGATGGTCTTTGCCTCGGTGACTCTTCAGTCCTTCGTGCTGTTCATGGATCCAGTGCCTTGCTAAGTAAGTGCACCTTCAGTTTTTACACATGGTGTTGGTGTCTTTTCCATTGCTCAGATAAAACACCATGTCCAAGGTGACTCATGGAAAGAAGTGTTTATTTGGGTTCATGGTTCCTGGGGACTAACAGGTCATCATGGTGGAGAGTCATGATAGATAGTAGCAGACATTGCAGCCTCAGCGGCAGGAGCTTGAGAGCTCACATCCTCAACAACCAGCAGAAGAAGAAAGAGGGAACTGAACATAGAGTGAGCTACTGGTCTTCTCAAAGCCTGGTCCTGGTGATGGATTTCCTCCAACAAGGCCACAAATCATTAAGCCTCTCCAAACACGCTGCTGCTCAAAGAACTTGTGCACCAAATCTCTACTGGTGACATGTACCACCTCCTGTGAACTACCCTGGGAGAAGGACACTGCTCTTACTAATTGTCAGACCATATGTCATCTCCTCTTGTTCAAACAAAGGATTTAAATGTGTAAGCATTTTAGAGGTTCAAAATTTCATATTAGGGCTGGAGAGATGGCTCAGCCATTAAAGGCTTACAACCAAAAAAATATAAAATTCCAATTTAATTCAGAACAAATTAACTCTAAAGCTGGAGATACTTTTCTATGTAGATTTTCTTTGTGTGTTGTTGGAGTTTGGTCTTGGTGTCATTCAGAACTTGTGAACACTGACTTTGGAAATACCCACTCTGATGAAGAATGCTAGGAGAAGCTCCCAGGGAAATAGACATCACTGAGTGTAAAATGTTGATACAGTTTCCAGGTGCAAACAAAACACACTGTGTGTTGTAAGATTTTTAGTATGGGTTTGTTCTGCAGAAGATTAGAACCTAAAACTGTGTCCCTGATTGAGCTAAGTTCAATGGCGAGTAGAATTCCTGATTATAAATTCCTGAGACTTAAAACAAAAACGACCATTTGCAAGCTTAAAAACTTCCTAGCACAGGCATGGGCAGAGACATGGTGCCCTAACAGCTCCGTCAAATGAGGGAGGAATTACTAAAGGGGACTGGGCTAAGGAATGTGGTTCTTGATTCAGTGTATTTTGATTTGAAGAAAAATAGAAGTAAGTGCTTGATGAAATGAGTCTGTGAACATAGGCTAAGAAACCATCAGAGATGCCCAGACTTTGTTGGTTTTGCTGTTTTAATTTCACAAGAATGGAGAAAGAGTTAAAGAAAGACCATGTGGAAAATCTATCTCCCTCCACAAACCTTTTTCCAGGGGGAGATGAATCCTTGTGTGGATTTAGTCCCATGTCTACAGTCCCCACACTTCATGGAATAAAATGATTAGTCATTTTCAATCTTTATCTTCCTGTTCAGAAGATAAAACATATGATTGTGTTAAAAATAATTTGAATGGTGAAAAGCAAGAGACAGATTTTCCACATGAGGAGGAAGTCAGTCAACTAACCCATTTCCCAAGTATCTCACTGCTGTATTTGAACGACGCCACACTGCCTCTATGACCTCTGTGTTCTCAGAAGGTGAGGCAGATTTCTCTTAAAGCCCTGATTTCACAGTGGGCTGGGGACATTTCTGAACTGGTCGCCTCAGAGTTCACTTTTCACTTATCTGTAGCGGTCATTTAGATTTTGTTGCATCCTGGTTGACAAAAATCACTCCTTTCAGAAATGTATTCACCCCCTCGGTACCCCAAATACAATATAATATTATCACACCCACAACAAAAGGATCTATGCCAATGGATGAAGACCCATCAGGTTATAAGCCGCAGAGATCTTGCTGGTCCCATCTAAACTCCATCCTTGTTCTAAGGGTTTTCTTCCCTCCAAAGCTCCCACAGGCACCCCTCCCTCTTCATAGGCAGACCCCTAGTCTACAAGGGAGTGACCCCTCAAGTCAATCATCTTTACTCTTCCCCAATTGGCTTGGTACTTTCTTCTAATCAATGGTATTAATATCAAATTGAATTTTTTTGAAGGATAGCCCATAATTCTACAAGTCCGATAATCTTACCCATGCCAGGTGTTCCTCTTTGTAGATGAGCTAAAACTCACAAAGGGAGGTCATTAATAGATAACTGTGTGCTCAGGAATGGGGAAAAAACCATAATGCTGGTATTCTGCTACTCACACAAGAGTCCTTTCCCACGCAGACCATTTCTTAAACCTCATATTGCAATTATCCTAACAATGAATTACAAGGCTGCTCATACAGCTTGTAGATGTGCATATTAGAATGTTAAACCTGAACATATATTTCCCAAGTTATTTAATCATGCAGTAGAAGGGAATAATGTGATTTCTTGTCCTGTAAATTGTGAGAAAATACTCCTGTATTTCCTCCTATTAATGTTTGACATGATGTTATTCTGAGTATGAAGGATTTGCCACACTGGGTAATTGCTCATAAATTCTGCCTGTTGCCTCACCCTGTTTATAGACTCTGACATGGGCAATAATTGGTTTTATTGAATTAGGAAAGTAACCATTTATAAAGGTATCACTGGCTGATGACTTTGCTGCTGGTGGTTTTTCTTATTCATTAGAAAATCGTTTGGATGTTGATATTTACAATGGTGGCTTTTTGTCTTCTGTAGATAGGATTATTTTTACCTGTAAGACAGTCAGGGACCACCAAAGCACCGAAGACCGAAGGAAACCAAGTTTAGTATAGAAATTTCAAAATTGTCTTGACCACGGAATGGAGAAATGCTTTTAAATATTTTCCAACTTCTAATGTTTTTGTGTATGTGTGTTGTATATGCCTATGTGTACGTGCAGTGTGTGTATACCTGTACACCTGTGCAGAGGCTAGAGGTGGATGTCTACTTTAATTTTTTGAGACAGGGGTTCTCACTGACCCTGGGGCTCACCATCACTTTTCTACTAGGCTGACAGCCAGTGAGCCCCAGGGATCTTTCTGTCTCTGCCCCCACCCCCTCAGTCCATGGTGTTTTTTACATTTAGATGCCACTGTCTTGATACTTGATGGGCAATACTTGATACTAGACTGAAAAATGCTCCTTCTTTAGTTTCTGCAATGTATTTTTCCTTTATGGTACCCCTCTCTGTTGCTATAGAGATACTGAATGACACTCTTTTCTTCCTGTTTAGAAAGCCATCTAATCTTTTGGTCTGGAGGCCAAAGTGTTATTTTTCTTAACTTTTAAAATTTTCAACTTATACTCTTGAATTTTGTATTATTTGTCCACAGCTTTCTTAGATCGTTTTAAATCGGTGGTTCTCAACCTATGGATTACAACCCCTCTGTGGGTTGAATGACCCTTTCACAGGAGTCACCTAAGACCACCATGTACATCATATATTTACATTACGATTCATAAAAGTAACAAAATTACAGTTATGAAGTAGCAACGAAAATAATTTAATGGTTGAGGGTCACCACAACATGAGGAACTCTATTAAAAGGTTGCAGCATTAGGAAGGTTGAGAACTACTGTTTTAAATATTCTGCTCTATTCCCTTTTTTGCACTTAAAAATTATTTTATGTGCATGGTTCTTTTGCCTGCATGTATGTATGTGTACCATGTGAGCACAGACTAAGATGGGCATCAGATCCCCTGGAACTGCAGTTACAGATGCTTGTGAACTGCTGTGTGGGTGCTGGGAATCAAACCCAGGTCCTCTGCAAGAGCAGCTAGAGTTCTTCATCACTGAACCATTTCTCCAGACCTGCTCTATTTTTCTTGAGGGAATCCAATATTTTGTTAGGTTTTTCATCCACTTAATTTTCTCTGTATACCCTCCTTTGTAAAGGATTAAGTCATTCTTTATGTTACACTAGTTCCTTTGAGGTTTTTCTTTTCCCATTTCTTTATATAGTTTAAATTGTTCCCATTCTTGCATACATTGTAATTAGGCCTTCATTTCTGAGATGATTTTAGTTTTTATTCAATTTCTTTCGAGCTTGAGTGACTCTCATTCACAGCTTCTCCTTTCTGTTTATTTATATTCTGAGATTTAAATATTTGATCAAAGCCCTTCAGATGTCTTCAAACTCTTGTCTAAATATTTTGTTTTAGGTTGGGAATATTGTGTTATAGCTAAACTGTTATGAACACTATTTTCTCGAGTAGCTCTGTAGGGATGGTTTCCATCATTAGTCAGTTACGAAGAGGTCTTACTTCGCCCCCTGGTCATAATTTCATAGCTTTAGATGTTTTTTAGTGATTGCCTTTATTCCAGGTGGGACCCCTCTATGATTGGTTTTATTTGTGTCCTTCCACATTTAGGTCTTGGCTGCTCTGTCCTGTCTTTTGAGACGTCCCCAGGTGACTGTCCACTGCAGCGGGAGCTTCAGCTGGCACTCAGGTATTTATGGCTTCACTTGCACGTGGCTTGTGTCACAGTGTACTGCAGCCTTATGCTCTGAGATAGTTTATGGGTAGATTTCTTTGCCTTTTATTTTCTGTCTGATAGGAGATGATGAAGAAGGGACCTTTGACTTTAAACAGCATCAGATGACCAAACTTGTAAATCCTGACCTTGGCTAAATGTACTCACAACAGTTCATTAGTCACTTATGTTCATGGCTGGGAAAGCTGGAGCTGCTCACCATGCAGGCTTGTACTGTCACCCTCGGGAAGAGGGTTATCATATAGAAGCTGTGGGAAGCAGGCTCTCTATATATAGTAAGAGGGCAGGGACCTCCTGGCTCTGGGGAAGGATGACTGACCTGTTTGAATAATTACGCAGGTTGACAGGAAAGTGACGCCTCTGGATTGAGGATCAAGTGTGGGTACAGCTGGTGCAGAGCAAAGGGGTCCTTCGTCATGGATATGGGGACCTCCCGGTGGGAATGAAGCAGTCTAAAGACTGGGGCAACTCCTAGTTATATCTTTGTGCCCAGACTTTTATGAGGCTCAAAGACATCAAGGAATCTCTTGAAAATTGACTCCCCCCCCCCCAGACAGGGTTTCTTGGTGTAGCTTTGCGCCTTTCCTGGATCTCTCTCTGTAGACCAGCTTGGCCTTGAACTCACAAAGACCTGCCTGCCTCTGCCTCCCGAGTGCTAGGATTAAAGGTGTGCACCACCACTGCCCGGCAAAAATTGACATCTTTCAGTGCACACCCAACACTTAAGTTGCCACCTATCCGAGTACCCACAGAACCTACACCCGAGGTAACCAAACTCATCTCAATCTTGACTCTTTCCTCTGTATGTCATACCTGTTAAGCCAATCCTTCTGTAACATTTCCTGTGAGATGTTAAGGTAAACTTAATACCGCTCTCTCCTGCCTTGAATACTTTCTCTTAGTTTTTTTCTCATCTCAATTAACAGAGGCTTTATCTCAATTGTACAAAGAAGGGATTCAGAAGTGATGTTTTATTTCTGCCTCCTTCACTCTTCACAGTTGATTTCATCAGAAACTCCATTTTAAATATCTGATCTTGGTTTGACAGTTCCCCAGTCCTCTCGGTTCCAACATGGCTGTTCTGTACAGGTTCCTATGGTCTTTCCTTTGACATCTGTGGTATTCTCCTCAGGCATCTTCTGAGCTTTGCTCTTCCTACTTTGTTTTCATGCAGGAGTTGGAGTGAGTTTTTTAAAAGTACGAAGCACTAGTACTTAGCAACAGGTGAATGGGTGAGAAAAATGTGGTATGTACACAATGTAGTTATATGCAGCTGTAAAGAAATTAAGTAGTTTGTAGGAAGATGAGTGAACTGGGGGTCATCATGCTAAGTGAGATAAGCCAGTCCTACAAAGACAACTCTCATGTGGATGCTAGAGAAATGGACTTCAGAGATGCAAAATAAGATAAGAGTAGGAGGGGCATAAGAAAGAGCAACTGTTCACAAATGTTTGTTATCTTCATGCGTTAAACTATCAAATGGTGGCCAGGTGGCGGTGCTGCACGCCTTTAATCCCCGCACTCAGGAGGCAGAGCCAGGCGGATCTCTGTGAGTTTGAGGCCAGCCTTGTCTACAGAGCGAGATCCAGGACAGGCACCAAAACTACACAGAGAAACCCTGTCTCAAAAACCAAACCAAACCAAACCCCCCCAAAATATCAAATGGCTATACCACTAAAATATGCTAAGAAAAGTGTGTGTCAACTGTTTTTTCTCTGTTTCCCCATCTTTCTGACCAAATGGTCTCGAGTTCCTGGGTAGAAGTAGGGCAACGAGAGCAGCCCAAGCAGTGAGAGTTAAAATCGCCGTGGGCCCGGCGTACCAATATAACGAGTTCATTGCTCTGTGAGGCTCCTTGCAGGAGATCATTTGCTACTCTGCTCTCTCCTCTAACGGCTCTCCAGCAGGTACATCGTTAGACCCATTTGTTCACCTCCAGTTTCTGTTTACCTTAGTGATTCTGTCCTTGCTGTCATCATTGTCATTAGTCTCCATCATCCTCACCGCCACCACCACCTGTAAGCATGGGATGAAGGTTCCTGTGTGAGGGTAGCTGAGGCTGGTGTCTAAGCCATTCAGACTCAAGTAGACTCCAGTCCATGTAGACAAATTCCAAGTGTGACCATTGCCTACCTTATTGGATTTATCAAAACACCACAATTTCTGTATTTTTGTGTCATTTCTCCATCCCCAGTTTATTAATTTCCTCACCGAATTTTGAAAATGCAAGCTTTCCCCTGGATTCCCTGATTCTACTCATTCTACCTCAGTTGATTAACACTGTTACCTGCATTCTTCCAATTTATTTTTTAACCATAGTTGCTACTCAGTGCGAGTGCTATGACTTCAGGGCTTGAAATCCTTCCAGGACTTCATACTGAGTGTGTAAAATATGAAATTATGGGCTGGGGATGCGGTTCAGTTGGTAGAGTGCCTGTCTATCATTCATGAAGCCCCAAGTTCCATCTCAGGCACCACATAAACCAGATGTGGTGCACACCTGCAATTTCAGCTCTCAGGGGATGTAGACAGGCAGATCAGGAGTTCAAGGATACCCTCAGCTACATAGTGACACTGAGGCCAATATCGCATATGTGACATAGGATATTGTATTCTAGCCACCTGTTAATGCTTCAGCTCCCCGAATGTGCCTGGCTCTTTATGATCCTAAAATGTTACCAACACTCGTGCTTTCTTATCAAATTTCCTTTCAGCCATTCATTCTGTGCAATCCCTTGTTTTCTTCTTCACAGCCTCTTAATCTTATACCAGGCTTTTCTTCCCTCCCTCTGCTAATCTACCGCATGGCATCCTGCTCCTTCTCTCTAAAAGTGTTTCAAAGCTTGTCATATGTATGCGCTACATATGGGTTGGCCCTTATTTCGACATTGGTTAGGAATAAATGAAAATGTTTTAAAAAAGAAACTGCACAGGACAGACAGGGGTAGAATCTCTTGAACTCAGCCTGTGCCCCCAATAGAAGTGGCAAAAAGCAGACCGTTGCATATTCCATTAAAATGGCAATAAAAGCCTCATGGCTGATTAAAATATCCCCCAGAAAAACCTACCAGAGATAAATATTCTCACAACACTTAGAATTAATGTCAAACTTGAGCCAAGTTTGGGAGAAATGCATTTGTAGTTGATTGAACTCAAGAATACAGTTGAAAACAAGAGTGAATCGTTCAAGAAACAAAAAATCTGTTCAGGACCCAGAGGAAAGAGAAAAGGTTAAAGGGAATAAAAATGAGTGTCCGTGAAGTTTAGACCAACAGCTGTGGAGCCTGCATGGGACCAGACTAGGCATACGGGAGACAGCTGTGTACCTTGGTCTGTTTGAGGGGTCCCTGGCAGTGGGATCAGGATCTATCCTTGGTGTAACGTGAATTTCTGAACGATATTATTAAATAAAAAACTCAGGGGAGCCAGGTATTGGGGTGAATTCTGAAAGGTCAGAGAAGCAGAACAAGCCACAGCTAACCTCACTTTGCCAACTTCTAAGCTGGTCTTATTTCCTCAAACTGGAAGCCTCTGAGTCTCCTGCCATCACTCCCTGTGATTAAAGGCGTGTGTCTTTCCCAAGCAAGACATGAGATCTCAAGTGCTGGGATTAAAGGTGTGTGTCACCATGCCTGGCTCTGTCCAGTGTGGCTTTGAACTCACAGAGATCCAGATGGATCTCTGCCTCTGAAATGCTAGGATTAAAGGCGTGTGCTACCACTGCCTAACCTTTATGTTTAATATAATGGCTGTTCTGTTCTCTGACCCCAGATAAGTTTATTGGGTGCATAATATATCAATCACACCCTGGTGCATGAACGGGCTTTTTTGGAACCCATTACCTGTGGTAGGATGCCTTGCTCAGCCTTGATGCAGTGGGGGAGGGGCTTGGTCCTGCCTCAACTGAACGTACCAGGCTTTGCTGACTCCCCATGGGAGGCTTTACCCTTTTGGAGGAGGGGAAGGGGGATGGGTGGGTGCGGAGGCTGGACAGGGGGGTGGGGTGGAGTGGGGTAGGGAGCAGGAGGAGGGATGAGGGGGGGATCTGTGGTTGGTATATAAAATGAATTAAAATTTTTTCTTAAATAAAAAAAATGAGTGTCGGAGTGGAAGTAGCTGAATTTAGAAAATAAAGCAGGAACAGTATAGAGATAGTTTACCCTGAAGAACAACAGTGTGACAAAGGAGTGTTTAAAACTTCAAGCTGCAAAACCTTGCAAATGCAGAAGTAAATGAGTCTGAAATTGAACCACCCGATGCTCAGGAAGATCTGTCAGCTGCAGCTGTCAATGCCAGAACACATGCAGGAAGAGGGTTAGAAATTGAACACACTGAAGGTCATCAAGGTCTGTGAGTAAAACGATGAATGACACAAAGAGAATTATAAAAGAACTGTATCAGCGCATAATTCCTCAAACCAAACCATCATACATACAGGACAGCCATGCAGAAGGCAGCATATGGACAAGAATAGTCTCTGTGATTACTGTATGTGAACCAGTAATGGCATGATTAAGTGTAATCGCTTTTAAAAAAAAAGAAGTACCAGATGTTGTAGACAAGCCCCCAAGTCAGTTTAGGATCTAAGCCCTTAGACATTATTGATTGAATGTGGAATGGGGGAAGCAGAGTCAGGCTACAGGATATACTGTTTTCTTTTCCTCCATCATGTCCTCCGTCCTGCCCTACGCCCCCCCCCCCAACTCCAGCCCACCCCACCACACCCCACTCCAGGAATTGTGCTCCCTGAATTCCAGCTGGATTCAGAGTACGGGTGATGGAGATCTGGGGGTTCCTTTCCCCACCTTCTGCCTCATACTTCGGCTTGTACAGTGCTGATACTGATTTACACTAGCTCTCTTTATTAGGGAGGCCCCTCCTGCCAGGTTCCCCACAAACTAGGAGTGATAGAGGCCACCCTCCTGCCACTAGCACTTACCCTTCCATTTCTGTTG